GTGATGGAAAAGTTTCTGCAAAGGTTGAAGTACTGAGCCTTAAAGCATTCTTTATTCTTCCAGTATAATGATGGCAAATCTACCCTCTCTCATTTCAACCTTTGAATAAGTCCCTAAAGCAGAAATCAACAGTTTCACCTTGCTGTGCTTGACTCTTTCAGTGCCTTTCTCTTCTAGATCTTGTGCAACTGCCATTAATTCTACATGACATCCTATTTCAAGCTTTTGATTAATCTTACAGAAGTGAAACTGTTAGAAAGGTCTTTCAATCACAGAAGTACATTTCTTTTGCATACATAACAGGGTCTTGTTAAAGTTGCTTAATGAATTATATCCAGGGTTTGAAGAGGGAAGGTATGCGGGTTTGGGCAGTTCCTGCAATACTGAAAAGCTGGGAATATTCTCTTTTGCAGAAGAAGGTCCTATTCAGGAGGCCAGAGACGGCTGTGCCTTTTTCCCTTGTGAGAGGGTTCTGCAGCCCTTTCCTGGCTCATATGAAGGAGCTGATTGCTCACCTCCTACTGCTCAGCCCAGCTTTGCCTTGCTGTGCCAGCCCTGGTGCTCCAGTGCTGTGAAACCATCTGCAGTGGCTGCGCTGCTGGAGTGTCCTCACTGCCTGAGCCAGGGAGGGGGGATCAGAACAGGTGATTTGGCCCTTTGTGTGAAACCTTAGGCTCTATCAATACAAACAATACTTTTTTGTTAAAGTCCACTTAAATGCAGACGAGACTAAATCACTATGGATAGCAGCAGCACAGGTTGTGTTCTTTTCTTGGTCTTTCAATGGTTTCGCTGAAGGGCACATTGGACATGCAAACCCCAAAGAAGCTCCAGCACACAGAGAAATGTATTCTTAGTTGGGTAACAAAATGCTAACTCGTATAACTTCCAGTTCAAGCAATAATGTGGAAAGCAAAAGACTGAATGAATTAACTCACTTGTATTAGGATGCTGAAGATACTACCTTGCCAGCTTCTGACAGCAGCTAAGTTTCACCGGCTGTATTTAAGATTGTCATAGAAAATCCATGTACTAGCTCTTATTTCCATCTTTTCATATGTATCTATAAAATGGGAATCTAAAATTGAGAGACCTGTGAATGACTCATGACAGTACTTGTCAATTAAATGAGCAACAGAAAGTATTTAGGGAACTCCATGACTGTCTTCAGATTAGAGAAAATAATGGTAGTATCTGGGGGATGCTATTGGAAATCATTGTACTTCACAGATGAGCACACTTTTGGAGCACTGAAGGAGAATAAACAAGCCCACAAAATGAACATGATTATGCTTTATGAAGGAACTGAAAATATAGGAAAGAGCCAGTCTCATAATACTGCTTTTGTGGTATTAAATTACCTAATCAGGACCCAAAGTACTGCACCTGATATTTTTTCCTCTTATGCTGACCACAAAACATTGGGATAATTGTGTGGGCTGCAGAGCTGTGTAAAGACAACAATTCCCTACTACTCTTTCCAGCTGCTAAAGTATTAGCGTATCCATCTCTCACCATGGAGGTTCCCAGAAGAGTTAGTGTAGCTTTTGAGGGACTATGAATACTTGTAATGAGATTCACAATCCTTGTACTCAACCTGAAATGGTTTTATGGGGAGTAAAAATTTAAGGCACTTTACTGCATAAAATGATATGCATGCTGACCACCCCTATTCCCCTTTAGCGTAGTGAAAATCAATTTGCAAAATGATGCTTGGAGCTAGCTTGAATGAATTATGTGATCTCCAGTGCTTTAAAAAGTACTCCTGAGCCTCTAGGAACCTGATCATGCCCTGTGCTATATTCTTCAGTCATTACCTGTAACATGAGGTATGAAACCTCAGTGTCTCACAGAACTGGCTGCTGAAACAGTCATATGGCAACAGGAGTGAGTGCAAGGATGTACCACTCTGTGGATCTGTGACAAGTGCCTGGCTTCAGGGGGTCTGATGCTCTGGAGAATCTCTGCTGGCCTGCATGAGGCAGGCACTAAAAAAGTGACCAGAAGGCTCTCTTCTCTGCACGTCAGTTCCTACAAGCTCAGATTGTTTTAGCTGCATAAGCCTCTGTAGGGTGGTATTGCCTACATATTTATGTATATTCCTATGTATTTTCCTACATAGGAAAATATTTGCTCTAAACCCACTCAAACCCTCCCCTGATTCATTCTCACCTTCCTTACCTGCAAGCACACTGGTCGGTGATAGCTGTACCTGCTCTTCCTTTTGTCTTTGACAAGCCTGTGCTGGACAAGCAGTCCGTGCTGCAGAGGCCAGCAAGGTGAGCAGGGAGAGGAGAAGGGGCCGAGTTGTCCTGGGGCAGCTCGCTTGTGCGTGGACCCCTGGCTCTGGCTGCGAAGGTCCCTGGCAGGCAGCTTGTCTCACCAACCTGGGGGCATCTTTCAGTGGCCATCTCCACTGAAACCCCTTGAGATGATCTGTTGATTCAGGCTGTGCAGATGTCTGCAGGTGTTTCTTCTCATGGCAGTATAACAGCGAACCTTGGGCTTGTGTTTCAAATTACCCTGAGCAGCAGGGCAGAAACTGATGGGAGCCCAATTCTAGCCCCTAGGTTTCATAGTAACTCTGGCATATCACTGTCTGTGTAGGCACAAGTCTATGAAAATAAAATTATTCTGAGAATGAGATATTTTTAGATGAGAGAGAAAAGAAGAAATAACAGCAGGTAGGAAAAATGTGAAAAAAGGACAAGGGAGATCGGACTAAGGCAGTGACTGATCCCAGAGTGTACATATCCCAGTTCAGCTGAGATTGTCAAAAGATCAGTAAGTTTCAAGCAAAGACATTTCAGACCCTTCTTGTTATCCTGGTGATAAGAGAAGTGTTCACACCCCCCCCCCCCATATATATTATATATAATCACACAAGGATGATATATAATCTTATCCAGGATAGTGTAAGGAAGCTTTGTTGCCCAAAGTTAATGCATGGTTAATAGTAAGCTGCAGAACTTAATTGGCAGATCTTACTCATGCAGCAGTCCCAATGCTTCTGATGTCTAAAATTTAAAGGCTGGCATATTGTTCCAGCTGCAATCAACATTTGAAAAATGAATGGACTTCACATGCCTGATCCTGTGCTCTCACACTATATTGAGCACTGGAATTCAGAGCAGAGTAGAAAATATTAAATGTTCGCAGTCAAGAGAAACGCAACAGGCTTCCAGTAACAGTCTGTTGGTAACTGTGATTTTTAAAGTGAGATAAACACACTTTCTGCTCCCTGAAGGAGCAGAACCACTCATGGAGTGTGGTTGTTTATCTCAAAAATTATTCAAATGGCGTTATGGAGATTCTCATTGAAAGTCATGATGATTTCCAGAACTAGCATTCTAGCAGAGAAGGGGGAGAGAAACAACCCTGCCAAATCTGAAAATACAATCTGGAGTTTGAATGAAGGAATGAACATGGGATTGGTCTGTCTTCTTTTCCTAGTGCATGGCTTGCGTCACTTTGTTCCCAGTGTTGTCAGTTATATCCTTGGTGATTCCTGCTCTTGTGCATGGTAATTTTTTGACCAAGTAAGAGCCATTGGACTGGGCTGGTACATAAGATAAAGGGAAATAGATCATCTTTCCCTGTGTTGGTTCTTCACAGCTCGTGACAGGGAAAAAACAAGGGTTAGAAATTACTACTTCTTACAGAAATGGGGAAGAAGAGATCTTCTCACAGTGACATTTCTTAATGATAATCCCCTTCAGGTTTTTGGAAACCTTCAAAAGCAGTGTTATGTTTTCCTATCACGTAATCCATTTTATGCAACTGATAATGAAAATATACAGACATGTATATTATCACATCTAGGAAATGAGGTCAAGAAAGACTGGAAAACACCTCTGGGTAATACACATGTGTATGTGTTCACCCTGCTCGTCTCCCGTTCCCTCCCATAAAGGCTGTGCTCTTACATGTAGGGAGGGGAACAGCAACCAGATGACCTTGCTGACCCTGTAGGCATGCACAAGTGTAGCTGACATGAGAGCAGGAAAAAGCTGGGTTTCCTAATGGGATAATGGCATAATGGTATCTTGCTTTGATCAGAAGGGTGTACTAGGCATTCCTGGCCCTGGGAGCATTGAGTGCCAAATGTTGTTGATATAGATACTAAGTGTATACACTGTGTGCCATCTGGGACATGGGCTCTAGGAAAGGGGACACCGAGCTGTTGTAAGTTGCTACCACGGTGTTGCTGAAGTCCTGGGGCAGGTAAAGTTTATGCTGGCTGATGATCTGCCCAGGTTCATTATGGTGGAGGGTTGTCTAGGATTTCATTTTCTATGGTACTTTCACCATACCCGTCTCCTTTTCCCCTTAAAAGTCTGTCAAAACAAAGCCCATTTTAAAAGAAATGAATGTAGAAAATGTGAAACATAAGGATCTTTTACAAAGCGTCTTTTACAGTGCTGGGGACATAGAACAGGGCAGTGGAAGATAAGCCATTATGTATGTTGAGGAAGTCTAAGAATAAAGATTATAGGCAAACAGTCTACCTTTCTTTACAAGGCCTTGATTTACATCCCTGAAATCTCAAATTTAGCTATTACAATGAAGTCCTGTTGCACACAGAGCTGCTTTTTTATCACCACTTAAAATCTAATTAATCCGTATTGAAGCACAAAGATTTCTGTTGTGTTTTAGGGTGAGGGGTCATAGAGCCCTCTTTGTTCATCCTCAGGCTTGTAATCATCAGGCATTGGGATATAATTTTACCAAGCAAATTGGAAAGTAACAGATCAAATCCTTATCGGAAAGCCTAACTCATGGTTTAGTGAAGCCCTTCGTCCTTTATGTGAAACTTTATATTCATGAAGAACAAAAAAGTGTTTCAGAGCTTGCAAAGGGTTAATAGCAAGGGCTTATATTTGGGGAAGCAGAAAACTAAAACCATCATAGCTTCCACCATCACTCAAGGTAGCAGCTGGTACAGAACTGCTGGGGAGACCTTCCTTCCTCCTCAAGCTTTCAGGACTCTGCTTTTTATAATGGCCTTGGTCTATCAACCAATGATGCAATTAAGTGGCATACTCTTCTCTCTGTTGGGATGGGTCCTGTCCTGTCTCACCACCTATCTACCCCAGTGGAAAAACCTTAACTTGGAACTGAATGAGCTGGAGATCTGGACCATGGGACTCTGGCAAGCTTGTGTTGTGCAGGAAGAAGGGGGAATGCAATGCAAGGACTTCGATTCTTTCCTAGCTTTGCCTCCAGAGCTCAGGATTTCTAGGATTTTGATGTTTTTTTCCAATGGATCAGGGCTCCTGGGCCTCTTGCTCTCGGGATTTGGGTTGGACTGTTTGAAAATTGGTGAAAGGCAACAGGAACAAAAGAAACGGTTGTTGCTGTTCGGAGGAATGCTCGTCTGGATATCGGGGATTACAGCTATTGTCCCGGTTTCTTGGGTTGCCCATTCCACAGTCCAGGAATTTTGGGATGAGAATATACCAGATATTGTTCCCAGGTGGGATTTTGGGGAAGCATTGTTTGTTGGCTGGCTTGCTGGATTTTGTCTTATATTAGGAGGATCCCTACTTAATTGCACAATCTGTTGCACTGAAGTCCATCTGTCTTCAGTCCATTACACAGTAGCAGAACAGCAGGATCAGTGTCAACGCTTGGAAACCGAAACTAGGCCTTAAAATGGAAGGTTTTAAGCAGTACAGAAATACTGTCCTATCTTTTCCAAACCCTAGTGCAAGCCAGAAGCTTGTTCCAGTAGTAATTCAAAGGACTCTTTGTAACCGAGCTGATTTCCTAAATTTATGTCTGTTTTCTCCATGAACTGGTATCGGTGTGTTTTCTCACCTGGGGAACTGCTTAAAACTGTGTTTCACGGAAGAATGCTGAAATTTTTGTGGACTCTGCAGGAGAGGTGCTTTTGCTTTCTCAACTGCACTGTAAAATCCTGAAAATGAATATGCATGTTCTCTTACAGCTTGGGTTTTAAACAAAACGTGCTTCCTTTTTTATGTAACCAATGAAATGAGCCTCAAAGCTTGACTCGCTATTTCAATTTTCCACTTGCCTAATGCAGTGATGTACAAACTACAGGAGATTTCCTATCCTAAACAGTCTATAAATACCTGCATTGCATCAAATGGTTTCTATGTGCTTGGAAATAGTAGTTTTCTGAAATTGTAGCAAGCTTAGCAGCTTGCTTTTTGTGCATGGGGTGTGATGGTGTGGGTGCCTCGTACCCAGCAAGTCGTGTTTTCCCAAAGTCTACTGCATTAAACTGCCCATACAAGTTATGCTAGGCATTTCTGGCACCTGCATACTATACGCACAAAAAATAGCCTGGAAATGCTAATTTAAAAAATAGTTACACCATCTTCTTCAGATCCAGTCTTGAGGCATTACGCATCCTATCCACAGCTCCTTAAGCTCAATTCACTCATGTTTGGAATATGTTGCTGTGCAGTCTTTGACTTGAAATATACAACATTTAACTTGCCACACAGCAGACAGCATCATTTTCTCTAAGTGCATCAAAGTAGTATTAGAATTTAATATGAAAACAAACTGTGAGATGCCAAAACTAGCAGAACTGCTGTAATGTTTTAGCAGATTGATGGAAAGCCAAGTATATGCTTTTCTTAAAACAACAACAACAACAAAGCAACAAAAAAACCAAACCCAAAACTAAAGAAAGGTGAACCAGCTGTGGCCACACACTTCTGCTACTGGTTTACCAACCAGGCTAACAAAGCAGGAGGGAGAGGGAGAAGTATTTCATGCTTCATAAAGCTTTGTTTTAACCTTTGCTACAGTATGACAAAGAACTGAGTGGAACAGTGCCTGGAAAAGCCAGCAGTTTGGAGCTTCTGTGACTGCAACCTGTAACTATTTACCAGGCTGGAAAAAACTCAGCTTAGACTTAAACGTACTGGAGCTCGGACCACTGGACTCCTGCAAACTTGTGTAGTACAAGGTGTAGGAAGAGCAGTGTAAAGATTTTGATTCTTTCCTAGCTTTGCCTCTAGAATTCAAAATTTCCAAGATTTTAGTGTATACATCAAATGGACTAGGACTTCTGAGTGTTGTGATCTCCAGTCTTGGTCTTGGACTGTCTAAAGATGGAGGAGAAGCCAAAGAAACAGCTGTTACTACTTGGAGGAATACTCTTGTGGATGTCTGCAGACCCTGTGTCTTAGGTTGCCTACACTACAAGCCAGGATTTTTGGAGATTGTGCCCAGATGGGAAATTGGGAATGCACTATGCTGGTTTGGTGGATTTTTTATAATTCTGGGAGGATTTCTACTCCTCTCCACAACCTGCTTACCATCTGACTGTCAATTACCAGAGCAGTATGCAATGGCAGATATACAAGATGCCCAACAACATCTGGAAACTGGAAATGGAACACTTAAAAAAAGGCAAATATCAGGTTTTGTGCTTTATTAGTCTTGCATTACAGTAAGAAAGATCTGCTGAACAGGCAGGTTACTGTTTACAAGATTAGGGGAGGGGTTCTTTCTTACTAAGTAGTACCCACCGCTGTATTTCTCCCAAATGTGATCAACTGCAGATTTTGCTTTTGTAGTATGGCTTGAGGTTTTTTTAGAATAAGTGAGTATAAAATTTTTAATCTCTAGGCCTGCATGGAGACTTGACCATATCTTAAATAGCAGAACTCCTACTGGGGCTGCTTTAAACAAAGTACTTTTCACAAAAATAATATGAGTTTAATTCTGAAACAGTTTGTAGTGCCAGTTAACAAAAACCTAATGGGTACAACCTTGACTGAAGTTCTCTGGGTGGTATCATTTACACTAAATGTTTGCAGACATAATGTCATGTAATACAAAATTGTCCATCATGACTCTGTGAGACTGAGAGAGATAATATGACCGCCTGTATCCCTGCCCAGTCTCTCTCTCCCCCTCTCTAAGGAAAGCCAGTATTTCTGAATAATCATGAGATGTTGTCCAGTGGAGTTGTCTGTGTTCATTGCCGTTGCAGTTTTTACTTCATGAATGTAAAGAACTAACTTCAAGTATATGAACCAGTTTCTATATACCTTACCCTAAGAGCTGTCAGTGATTGATGTGAACTTTCTATAAATTGCCATGATTTTACATTGACAAAGCTGTAGCAGCCATCTGTTTCTGCAAAGAGCATATAAAGATATAGAACAGCAATAAAAGAATTAAATAAAACACTGGTCTGGAAAAGAGCTTTGTTAAAAAAATGTATTTTCCAATCACTGAAACACATGAAAAGTGCAGAGACAAGTTAATCTATGTGATGTACTTGCATACTCTTACAGACAAAATTAGAACAGAAACACATTCAGAATATAACCTGATTAAATATTTAGTTCAGTCCTGAGCATTTTATATTTAATACAGTATAAACATAGCAATAGTAAAAAGAAAAATAATCTTAAAATTATTTGATTTGTGTTCTATTACAATTTCTGCTAAACTTTGCTCATTTGGCTAAATATTCTTGTACCAGTAATATTTTATTTTGATATATATGCAACTGCAGTGACATTGGTACCTGGCAATAAAACTAATTACATTCGTTATACCCTGCTGTGCAGAGTAAATTCCACTTTAACAGTAATATTTATAACTTTAAACTGATGGGAGCTTATTTGTATGTAGTATTTTAGCTTATTCGATTGAGTGTTTCAAGTGTGAATAAGCTGAATTAGTAAAAAAAAAAAAAAACAAAACCAAAAAGCCAGAATTGTTAAAAGCTGCCTATAAATATGTACAACTTTACCAATCTGGAAAATTAAGAGCATGAATATGTATAAGTCTCTCATTTTCAAATGAGTTTTGAAGCTGAAGCCAGCAATACTTAAATTTTGACCTCACCTCATGCTTACAAATCAGACAATAATACTTTTTTTTTAAATTCTTCAGCATGTGAGGAAAACCAGCTAATCTGGCAAGAATTTAGACAGCTCTAAGTATTTTTCACAATAGCATTCTTAATGTCAAATATTTTTATGACCAGAACTGAACTATATTAAACAGAACATAAATAAGACTGTAAATAAATAAAAGAAAAATCATAAAGTACACCTCTAAATATCATTCTACAAACAACTTATATAATCAAGTTGAGAAGTTGAAACTGTCAACCATCATTTCACCTCTACATTAAATAATTCCAGATTTTTTTTTTAAATTGACCTTTCAAACATGAATGTTATCTCAAATCCAAGACACAAAAAACAAATGGGGCATTCATAAAGGATGTTCAATCAGTCATCTTGCCCAAAATAGCTTGTTTGGCTATACTTTTCATTGAACTGATGTATTTGTGCATAAGATAACCCTTGGGTGTTACACAGACCTCTCATCACAAAATTGTCACTTTGAATTTAAGACAGCTGCTACCATATTGTGGTTATATCTGTTTCCATTTTCTCACCAAGTAATTATAGCATTTCTGAAAGATGAAGTCCATGCAATGTGGCTTGTTGCCTGGGGAAGAAAACTAGTCAGTGAACGAAATACATCTGAATGCAATATATTAAGTAGAAAATAAAATAATTCTGTTCTCTGCAATGTCCACCTACTTACACAGTACCTACAGAAGATAAGAACCCAACTGCTTCACCAAGACAGGACTGCTTAAAAACCTACCTATATCTAATGTTCCGGACTTCTAAGAGAAGGCATCCAAGTTGCCTTCTGAAGAAGCAGCCTGCTAGGGGAAGCATGTAAGACAAATTTGAAAAAAGTCATTCACACCGATTCATTAAACCTGTGCACCCTCAATTGCGTGTTTGAAAAAATGTTATTTATTGTACCAAAATATGTGCAGACTTAGAGTTTGGAGCTTTTCTTTTTCAAAAAGGGTTTACCTTACCAACAGGACTTCTGATAACTGAGTTAGCATGTGACAGATTTTTCTCCTGGTACAAATGCTTTCATGAAACCTCTTCATATTTGTAAACCTAACACACACCTTTATGTATTCCTAGCTAGCAATCAGACAGCCCCCTAGGACAAAAGGTGAGCAGAGAGAAACTAATTTTTAACCGTGCAGTGGATACAACTATTTCGATATCAAGGTTGGTATTATGAATTTGATTCATCCTATTCAGAAAGCAGCTGCCCCTTTTGGTAGTCTCATAATAAGTTTTTAGGGTTACTTGTCTGCCTTGCCTTTCTCACTCTCCCGCAGATGCAAGAAACCTTTTAGTGCAGGTTAAAGTACTGTACATTCACAAAACTAAACTCTGAACTCCGTCTCTTCCTACAAAGTACTAAAAAACAAAAACAGAAGAAAATTGTTTTCAGAAACAAAATTCCAGTGTGGGTGATGAATGCAGTTAGCAGCTGTTGTGAGGCAGCCCGGATGTTCTGGAAAGGAGCTTACGCTTGTGGCTAACTTTAAACTATAAAAGTCACACTTGTACAAAAATATTGTATGGCAAAACAGCCATCTTCACAGTCTGCTCACATGAAAATAGTGAAAACATAAACAATTGTCTGTTGAACACAATTTTTCTCAACACAGTGCAGTTCAACAGGATACTTGCTTAGTACTGCCTTAGTTAATTTGTTCCATCTTTACAAAATAAAAACACATGCGATACATACAAACTGTACAAAATCAGCATCAGTATACCAAAATTAATCTACTTTGGTTTTCTGGTTGTTGGGGATTTTT